ATAAAACAAACAAATAAGTAATAAAAGAAACATGGCCACTCAAAAGTCACAAACGCTTTTTCATCCCACGGCTGCAGCAGCTCCGTTCAAAGGCTTTCACTGCAAACAACACCTCAATAACGTTAGGTCTCAGCCACACACAGACTGCTATGTGATTTGCCTGGTACCTCTGTGTTGGTTTATGATTATGATTCAGGTGATGCAGCTTTTAATCATTTATTTCTTTTCTCTAAATGAACTACTAATTTGTGACGTATAATATCCATTTTACATTATAAGAAAAATAGATTTTTTTTTTTGGAAAGTCAGCCTAGAGTAGAGAGGAATCTTTCTGGATGAACAGGGGTGCTTCTGGGGATTGGAGCTTGGGTCTTCTTTAAGACTGACATCCACCCTATTTTCCCTGTAGAGCAATTCCCAACCCTCTGAGTTTCTAGGATTAGACCTGAGTTTGATCGGTTTTCCTGAAAAACTTTAATGTACACTAAACTCTGATCAAGGAGAGAATATGCCTCTTCCTGACGTCAGCCTCCTGCTCCCCTTGGGTTTGCGCTCAGCTCCCCCTGCCGCCCTCCATCACTGTGTCACTCAGAGCACAGTAGTACACAGCCGAGTCTGATGCTTGCACTGCCTGTTTCTGCAGGTGGAAGGAGCTGTCCCTCTTAACAAGAGTGGCCTGAAAACCTTCATGCTCTACCGTCTTGTCTGCTGTGAAGCCCTTCAGGAGGAGTTGAGGAGCTTTGTTAAGATGCTGGACATACCAGAAAAGATAGGGATCCGAATATGTGGCCTGGTAAGTGCAGTTCAGGGTCATGAGAGCCCCCTCTGAGACAGTCACTGGGCCTTCTGTCTGGTTCACGGAGTCACCATTGGTCCCTCCTACAAGAAAATCACATTGTTATGATAGAAATGTACAGGAGAGGAGTTTTCAGCCAGAGAAGAAAAACAAAACTTACCTATAGTTATTAGAGGAGAAGGCAATGGCACCCCACTCCAGTACTCTTGCCTGGAAAATCCCATGGATAGAGGAGCCTAGTAGGCTGCGGTCCATGGGGTCGCTAAGAGTCGGACACGACTGAGCGACTTCACTTTCACTTTTCACTTTCACACATTGAAGAAGGGAATGGCAACCAACTCCAGTGTTCTTGCCTGGAGAACCCCAGGGACAGGGGAGCCTGGTGGGTTACAGTCCATGGGGTCACAAGAGTCGGACATGACTGAGTGACTTTCACTGTTACTACTTCACTACTTCAGTATAGTTATAGAAAGTGAAAAATCATTAAGTTTTAGAATAAAATGTTACTTACTGAATATTAAGATGATCAGAAGAACTGAGTGAGTGACAGAATGCATGTTCGCAAAAGAAAACGGTCCTTGTTCCCTGGAATACACCAGTCTAACGAATCTAGTCTCCATCTGGATGTTCCAGAAGCTCCTCACTCAGAAACGGAGAGCCCCTTTCTGCACAGCAGCAGTATTCTGTCTTGTGGCTGCAAAGTAGGCAAGTGAAACCAGCTCCCGAACACAACGAGGAACCGCATCTGAAGGAAGCCCCGCCCTCTGGTGGTGATCGTCAGAATTGCACCACAGTCGAGTCTGACCTATTCCTCCTCATAACAACTGTGGGATTACATACAGGAGAATGGGACAGGATCCTAAGAAGAGAGTCCTAAACATAAGCGTGCTTAGGCAAACTATTATTACTTCCATAATTTTTCGCATGGTACAGGTATCTCTAGCTTCGCAAGAAACCCCAGTTACAATTTCTAGATGGTATAGTCAGGGGTTTCTTCTTCCTCGCGTAAGTCTCCGATTCCCGTGGGTCAGAGAAGGATCCCTCTGTATGGAAAGCGCTTCCTCCTCTCCCCAAGTCATTTCTCTGAAGTAGTTATATTCATGTTGACTCTGTCAACATGCCGTGGAGAAAATGTTATCTAAGGCAGGTGTCAAATAATGTGTAGTTAAATGATAAGGTTATTATCCTGATTTATCATGGAATGACAGATTTGTAAAACACAATAAAAGTAAAATATGTGACTTCTTTTTCACTGATAATGGTAGAGTTGATCTTCCAACTACAAAACTATTTTTGGACCTTGAACATCAGGTAGCACAGAGATAAGAAAAACAGGTGAGATGAGCACTAATGCCCAGCTTACTTCATGGAGGCAGCTTCTAGGCACCAGTGCATGAGGGATTTACCAAAAATAGTGCAGCTGTCTCACTGTGGGATTGAGACAGAATAGGAGAATGGAGATCCTGAAATACCTCAAACTTGTGGGCCTCTGTACCAGAGGGGAGGAATGTTGACAAAGAGAGAGAGAGAAATAAGTGCAAGGCAGGGGTTGAGGGGTAGAGAAGGGGGGATTTGGACCATCCTGGATGACAGCAACCTTACACCTTTAGTCTCATGAGAGACAGGTGGCTTTACTTAGGTAATCTGGTTCTTGAAACATCTTTTTACCTCTTGTCACATTCTTGCTTTAATTCAACTAAGTATTTTTTATAATGTCAAGTTTAGATGCTCAATATATTAGCCAGACACTCTTCATTCCAGAGGCATGTGTGTGGTATTCATCTGTCTTCTGTTTATTTATTAGGGATTCAGGAATCTCAATGGAAAGAACTGTTTGCTCAGTGTCTGTCAGCCTGTTTTTCTAGTTCCCTGTGCAATTATTTGTGCTAATGAAGTGAACCCAGGAGAAGATTTAATGGGGTCATTTCATAGCTTGCTCTTTTCTCTAGAATAGGGTTTACTTTATGCAAAGTCTAACTATAATATGGTAAGAAGTCAAAACATTATTCTTTGCTGACGTAAACCATTTTAAGGCTTGGGGACGTTGTGGCTGCAGACAGCTGTGAGGTTGCCTTACACGGGCTCTCAGTGTTGTCAATCCAGTAACAATGGCTGTGATTAAGTCAGCTGAACTCAAGAACAGTCTTCTTCAAATGTGCCTTTTTCACCTACTGAGATTTTCTCACCAGTTAAAATGAACTTTGTTAGCTCTTACCAAAACTGGGATCATTTTTAATGCACATCTGATGCTGAGCGGTTCTTTTTGTTTGTGTTGTTCTTTGGTCTGTGCCAGGTCTTAGTTTAGGCTTGTGGGATCTAGTTCCCTGGCCAGGGATTGAACCTGGGCCTCCAGCAATGTGAGTGCAGAGAGTCCCAGCCACTGAACCAACACTCTCCCAAAAATCAGAATCTTGAGTTGAAGTTATCATGCTGGTAGGACTCTCTGGCTCAGCAGATCACCTAGATTCTCTTAAACTCTTGTGCATTTTCAGGAATCCCTCCAGCATTCATTCTGGAAATTTGCAGGGTTGGATGCAATGTGGAAACAAAAATGAGACACATTTCAACCTCAAATGGCTTTCAGTTTATTGAGGAGCAGGTGAGCAAAAAAAAAAAAAAAAAAATATCCATTGCCCTGTGTGTATTCCCACTACGTGGACCCCAGTACATGAAATGAGGGCTGAGACCGAAAGCAGAAAACTGATGCAGTTACCACCAGGGGAATAAAACCATCTATGATACTTTTATTTTCCCACCGTTAAGATTTATTTTTGTTCTTTCATCTCCCTCTCCATTTCTAGGCCTGTTTATTAAGATGTTGAACCCCCAGGGTGGCCAGCACCCAGTGAGCAGGACTCTAGGATGTCAGGGAGGAAGGCAGCGCTCACCTTCAAGTGGGTGTCCAGACCCACCCTAAGTGACGATGGTGAGTGCATCTGCCAAGACCATAAAACTACTATAACTATTAAACTCTGCATTTAAGTAGTTGTGCCAATAAACTGGGCTTCCCAGGTGCTAAGTGATACAGAATCTGCCTGCCAATTGAGGAGATGAGGGTTCAATCCTTGGGTGAGAAAGATCCCCTGGAGAAGGGAATAGCAACCCAGTCCAGTATTCTTGCCTGGAAAATTCCATGGACAGAGGAGTCTGGTGGGCCACAGTCCACGGGGTCGCAATGAGTCAGACGCCACTTAGCAACTCATACACACCTATAAATTATGAAATGACAATGATTCATGATCCTCGCCACATCTCACAGACTGCCCAGCAGTAAAACATCCATCTCTTCCCACCTGCTGTGCCCACCACTGTCCTTCCAGAAAGTCTGGTCCCCGAATTTGCAGACAGGAGTTCAGCCTGCAGAGATGCAGAGGGGACTCTGTGCAATGGGCATGATTGTATCAGAGATGCAGAGTAGGGACCAAAGTGGCTCCACATTCCTGCTCATGAGCAGAGGAGTGTGGAGATGTTCCTGCTTTGGGAGTGGGTGATACTTTCTCCTAGTTTCTTGAGCAGGTGAAAAAGCTCACTCTGCTGTCAAGATAGCTTATTGTAAGAGTGCATAAACACTCTTTCCATGTGTCTGAAGTATGACTGATTGATGAATTAATTTTCCCTGTTTTTTAGCTGTTCAGACCCTAGGTCATGTCTGACTCTTTACACCCCCATAAACTGCAGCACACCAGGAGCTTTATTCTCTCTTTCCTTGACTTTTCCATCCCTTCTGCTCCAGAAATGCTGCTGCCTAAGTAAGTTCCCAGAGGAGAGCTTCCGGACAAGATATTCCTTCTGAAGGGCCCTGTGGATCAGAGCAGCTCACTCTGTAAATATTGCAGGTATTGTGTGTCCTTCCCTGTCCTTAACTATCTCCCAGAGTTTGCTAAACTCATGTCCATTGAGTCAGTAATACCATCCAACCATCTTGTCCTCTGTCACCTCCTTACCCTCTTGCCCTCAATCTTTCCCAGCTTCAGGGACTTCTCCAGTGAATTGGTTCTTCACATCAGGTGGCCAAAATATTGGAACTTCAGCTTCAGCATCAGTCCTTCCATGAATATTCATGGTTAATATCCTTTAGGATGGACTGGTTTAATCTCCAAGGGACTCTTAAGAGTCTTCTCCAACACCACAGCTAGAAAGCATCATTCTTTGGCACTCAGCCTTCTTTATGGTCCAACTCTCACATCCATTCATGATTACTGGGAAAACCATAGCTCTGACTATGTGGACCTTTGCCGGTAAAGTAATGTCTCTGCTTTTTAATATGCTGTCTAGGTTGGTCATAGCTTCTCTCCCAAGGAGCAAGCATCTTTTCATTTCATGCCTGCAGTCATCATTTGCAGTGATTTTGAAGCCCAAGAAAATTAAATCTGTCACTGTTTCCATATTTTCACNTATATTTCCATGAGATGTTAAATCAGATTCGTTTGCTTTGTGGATCAGCTTCTATGTTACGACTAATAATTTAAAATTTTATTGTTGGGTTATTCATGCTGTAAATCTGCATAGATGTTAAACATAAAATGAGCCTATATCAAAGGCATTATGCAATCAAACACAACTTTTGACCTTTACCCCAGAGGATGTTGTGCTCTTAGATACTTTTATAGAGAAGCTATTAAACATAAAATGAGCCTATATCAAAGGCATTATGCAATCAAACACAACTTTTGACTTCTACCCCAGAGGATGTTGTGCTCTTAGATACTTTTATAGAGAAGCTAGAAATCCAGTTTTCAATGTGATGTCTGATTCTTAAATAATAAGCATAACTACTAGCTTCATATACACAGTACAAGGTTGCAGCTTCCTTCTTGACCACAGAAATTACAGACTGGGCTTGAGTTACGTTTTGGGTCATGCTGGATCCTGCAGAAAGAGCCCTTATTTATAAACATGATGGTATAAGGGATGAAGTGGCTTAGGACCTAATGCCCTGATTGCAATTGCCCATTATCCCTTGCTTTCAAGATGCATCAGATAACAATGATCTGTCCCGCCCCACAACCTTGGAACTGAGAGAGGAACATGAGTTCTGTGTGTGACCATCCTTACCAAGACAGACAGAGGCTATGACTGCCCTCAGCACACTGGCATCAGCATACTGGTAGCTCCTCCCTACGGTGAAACGTCCCCTGTTCCATTTCAGATTCAGATCTAAATTCTGCACCCTGTGCTGTGATGCTTCTGCCCCACGAGTCAGCAGGTGGAGGGCAGTTTGTGTCACGTCACATGCTTCTTTTATAGGAGGGAAATGCTAGTCTTCTGCACAACAGTTTGCTGAATTATAACACTATCAGACTAGAAATAAAGAGTAGCAAAACTGAATCATGTTCAGTTCATTCTTCTTTGGATCAAAGAATCAAAAGTAACAATGGGGTTTAGACTCTAACAGAAAGGCAGAATTTTTCGCTTCAATCTTTGTTTCTGCCTCCCATGGAATCTAGTAAAAGTTACCTGCAAAATATTTTGTTGTCTATGAATGATTTCATATCTTGCCTCTGCGTCACAAAATCTGTCAAGTGTGTGCCATGTTAAATAGCAGGAGGGGAAGAAATACATGTATATGTGATTAAAGTTTACATGTGTGTATGTGTGTAAACAAAAGTAAATTCAGAAAATTTTAGTCAATGCTTAAATATAAGAATTCCTGTTAAAACTCAATACATGTATTTCTGAATCATCCCCAACTCTT